TTCTGCACACTCTTTTGTCCTGTTCTTTTCTGACTGGCCCCTCCCTCTGTGTCCCAGCCCCTTCTTACCTTTGGACTTGCTTGTGTTATTTGTTCTTATTACTGGAGCATCCCTTTTTTCTGTGAGTCAGCACAGTATATCTTTTCTTTCTTTCTTTTTCTTTTCTTTCTTTTTTTTTTTTTTTGTGTGTGTATTGGGGATTGAACTCATGGCACTCAACCACTAAGCCACAACCCCAGCCATATATATATATATATGTATGTATATAAAATTTTTTTTAGAGACAGGGTCTCACTGAGTTGCTTAGTACCTTGCAATTGCTGAGCCTGGCTTTGAACTCCAGATCCTTCTGCCTCAGCCTCCTGAGTCGCTGACATTACAGCCGTATGGTACCCTGTCCAGTAGGCGCAACATGTATTCTAACATCTTCCCTAGCTACTTTTCTGATGTCTGGTCCAAGCCTCCGTTCCCTTCTGCAAGAGCCAATGGTAGCACGCTGGGAACTTCAACCATTCTCTTTGAACTTTGTGTGACATCACTACTAAATAGGTTCAATAGATTTCTTTTCACCAATTATATTCTACACTTCTACAGTGTTCTTTTTTCCTTCTCTTTTTTAACCTTTCCTTTTCTCCCTTTCCCTTCTCTCTTTCCTCCTCTCCCCCTCTCCCTTACTGACCTCCCAACATCTCTATTCATAATTGGAGACTGAGGAAGCAAATAGAGTTTTTGTGCTCCCGAGCCAATTTGACCTTCGCAGCCTCACTGTGTGATAGCTGTTATCAGTTCCATCTACAGAAGAGAAAACTGAGTTTCCCACAGATAAAACGGCTTGTCTAAGGAGACAGGACCAGGGCACTAGTGACAGGTGCATGACTCATGTAAGAATGGGCTCTGTCTGTCTGCACCCCTGGTGTCTTTGTGGCTGCTCTGAGAGCTGCCCCTCCTAACTCAAATCTGTAAAAAGCCCTTCTGCCATTTAGGGTAACATATTCATATTCTAGGAATTAGGATGTGGTAATCTTTGGGTGGCCATTATTCTGTCTGCCGCAGGTCAGATTTCAGCTAACATTTAGAAAGAAATATTTTTAAAACAAGAGCTACAATCTGAAGCACTGCACGACAGGAGAGAGAGAGAGAGAGAGAGAGAGATTGATTCAACAAATAGAGCTATCTCCTTTAATGGATTGTCTCCTAAGCAATCTGTATCCAAATGCATTTTGGACAATAGCACATTGGGCACATTATTAGAAGGATTCACACACCAGAAGGAGCTTTGTAGGAACCTGGTGTTGTGCTTAGATATCTTTCATAGGATTGGATTGTTTTGTGATTTTTACCATGGCCCTCATCATGTTTCATTGGATATTTAGATAAGCGATCTGAGTGTCTCATTCCCCTTACTGGGTAATAAGTTCTTTGGACAGCAGGTTCCATATCCTATTGCCTTTTATTCAGTATAGTTGGTCACGCAGTAGAGGCTTGAAATACACGTGAAATAAATTTAACAAATTCCCTGAGTTAAACGGGCCTTGAGGCCATTATCCCAGTAGATCCTTTGAATCATGGGAAAGAGTCTCAACTCACTTTAGAAGGTAAATGTTAGCCATCAACTTGGACCACTGTAGCAATCAATACACTTCATATCCAAAGTCTAAAATTACGCGAGGCTTTAGAAATTCCAAAACCAACTTTAGATTGCTCAGCCTTATAGTTCTAATTCTGGCAAAATTCTCAAAGTGCTGTGTAGGATATGACATCATTTCTGGGAGCATCTGGGATCTACTGAATAAAATAAAAGCTACAGGGAGGATATGTTCTGTCACTGAACAGAAAGCGCTGTAAGTAAAATCATAGCCAATATCGATCATGTGAGTTTCTATTGAAAGCCCATGAATCATTTAATAGGCTGTTTGCTTAACACTGTGATTTGTGACTTCCACCTTCTGCAGCAGAAGCAGCAGAGGTTGGTTGGAGGTAATGATTATTGGATTCATAGTTGGCTTTCAGACCTTCTAGAAAGGAAGAGAAGCAATCACCTGTTTTATTTTTTCCTCCCCTGGCTTAAGAGTCCCATGGAAAGTCTATTCCTATTAATTTGTTTTCTTTGACTGTTAATATATTTGAGAAAGGATTAAAAGGAAATACTGTACTAGAATAGTAAAATAAAGAGACTTTGCAAAGCTCGCCAGAGATCTGAAGTTTGCCCAGGGCCTCAGGGACCAGTACAGCCCAGAAGTCGAATTTTATTATGCATGTAATTCCCCCAAACGATGCCTCCTTTGATTCTTTACAGTAAACGTGAAATTGACTTCAGATTTTTTGGTCCACAACATTATTTTTAAAGGCATTTTAATCTTTGTTGGGTGATGGGTGCCTTTGCAGACTGGCTAATGGGCACACGTCAGCACACATTTCAGCGGTTCCTTCTATTTTGAATTTCCCTTTGCGTGTTTTCTTTGATCTTTCCACTTTGTACTTAGAGTTGGATTAGTTCTATAAAGCAAGAAGACAGTTTCCCTTGATGTGGATTTTGGGGAAATTGTCCAGAGTGATTTTTTTTCCCCCTGATTTCCCCAATTTCAAGCAATATGCTTCAGCAACACGGGTTTCTCTATAAGATATGGACAAATATCTGAGCAACACATAAAGGTAGGGAAGCAAGAATGCTTTAAATTAGCCTGGGAATACTTGAGTATGGGTCTATAGCATGTTTATTCCTCTAGCCCAGGATGCTGCTTTTGTTTGCTTCATTGAAATAAGCAGACATTATTTCTTGGGGAATGTTGTCCAAAAAGCACTTTGCCAGAATCTCAGGTCCTTCTCATCCAGGTAACAGGGTTTTTCTTAGGGGCTAAAATAGCTTTTCCTATAAACAAGATCAGGAAGAACACTGTGGTCCCTCATCAGACTTCAGTCTTCCTTCCATTTTCTTTTGGATTACCTATTTTCTTTTCCTAAGCTATTGAGTTTAATTCTTAGCTTGCAGATGACAGTGATTCTTTTTTTTTTTACTTACATAAGCATTTAAGTCTACACATTTCTCTACATTCCCTGAATTTTGATGCAATATTCCCTTAACTGTTCAGTATAAATTATTTTTAAGTTTCAATTTTTTTTTTCACAAACAGATGAAGTATTCAGAAGTGGTGTTTTTGAGGCATTCCTGTTTTGAGAAAGTTAGCTATGTTATTGATTTTTCATTTACTCCCACATTGTGGTTTGTATCATATAGACTGTCTGATATTTGTTGAGATATGCTTTGTGGCATGATGATATAGTCAGATTTCATAAATATCCCATGTATGCCTGAGAATCATTATAGTTTGGATTTGGAATATCTCTCCAAGCTCACGTGTTGAAGGATGTTTGTTCTATTTTATTTAGAATTTTAGGAATTTATAAGCAGGGGGCTTTGGGAAGCTAAATATGCCTTGGTACCAGAAGTGGAAGTCTGTGGAAGTCTGGAGGAAGTCATTTTTCTGTGTTTAAAAGAGAATTTTTTTTTTTTAAACTGGGAATTAAAACCAAGGAGTGCTTCACAGAACCACATCTCTAGCCTTTTCTTTCTTTCCTTTTCTTTCTTTCTTTCTTTTTTTTTTTTTTTTTCTTTTGAGTCAGGGTCTTGTGAAGTTTCTTAGGGCCTTGCTAAATTGCTGAGGCTGGCTTTGAATTCAGCTGGCTCTGCCTCAGCTTCCTGAGCTGCTGGGATTATAAGCGTGCACCACTGCACCCTGCTTAAAAGTGATCTTTTTTTTTTTTTTTTTTAATATGACTGCAGAATGCATTACAATTCTTATTACACATATAGAGCACAATTTTTCATATCTCTTGTTGTATACCCACTATACTCACAGCAATTCGTGTCTTCATACATGTACTTTGGATAGTAATGATCATCACATTCCACCATCATTAATTACCCCAGGTCCCCTCCCTTCCCCTCCAACCCCTCTGTCCTGTCTAGAGTTCGTCTATTCCTCTCACGCTCCCCATCCCTCTCCCACTATGAATCAGCCTCCTTATATCAAAGAAAATATTCGGCACTTGGTTTTTTGAGATCGGCTAACTTCACTTAGCATTATCTTCTCAACTCCATCCATTTACCTGCAAATGCCATGATTTGATGTTCTTCAATAGATGAATGGATAAAAAAATGTGGCATATATTCTTAAGAGAGATCTTATAGATAACATTTTCTCTAATGTGGAATACTTCCAGTGGACCTTTATTTGCAGTGGATTTTAGAAAGTGAACCATTGTAAAAAATCTATTGAATTACTTCCTGTTTAAAAAAAAAACAAAACAAACAAAACAACAACAAAAAAAAAGGACCCAAGATCCATTCTTTCTAAAATTGCACTGGGAGTTTCTAAGGGTCCATGTCTATTAAATGACAAATTCTGTATTGGAATCATCAACACAGTGAGTCAAATAATGGGAACAGAGGCTATTTGTGTATTTGTCACAGCTTTTTTAGAAACGGAAACAATTCTAATTGACTAACTTTGAAAAAAAAAGATTTAAGTAAATTTAAGTTAAAGAAAAAAAGGTTTTTAAATCAAAAGGATTTATCCTTTAAAATCTTGGGGTTTCTTATTCAAGTATATTTAGATTACCATGCACAGGAAAGGTGATTAGAGTTCTGTTTTCTTCTGGATTGGCTTCATCCTGATTTGGATTTGGACTCTTTCCATATGGTGGCAAGATGTTTCCAACAGCTCACTTAGAAGGTTTCCCTTTCCCAATCTAGTAGATGTGGGATGGTAGCCAAAGGCTTTGGTCACCTCTCCATCCTGATCAGTCCACATGGCCAGGGGTAATATGCTCTGAAGAACCTGGCCCCTAGAGTGATGTGTGGGGTCAGCTTTGATCAAACCACGTAGGCTAAGAATGGAGGAAGGTAGTTCTCTGAGAAAAATCTGGAAGCTGGGTAAATGAAGCCCAGCACATGTTCCCATCACCTGTCTAATTTCCTGTCTGTTTGCTGTTCATTTCAGGACAGTGTTGAGTTTAGGAACATCTGCAGCCATTTGGCTCTACAAATCGAAGGACAGCAGTTTGACAGAGACTTGAACGCTGCCCACCAGTGTTTGAAGACAATAGTCAAGAAGCTGATTCAGTCACTTGCTAATCTGCCTTCAGATACCCACGTGGTGGCCTGCGCTTCTTTGAGACAGATCTTAAAGAATCTCCCAGACACATGAATGTTAAAGACATCAAGATTAAAGTCACAGCGAGTGCTGCTAAAGAGAACTGGATATCTTATTTTCTTAATTCCATCAGCAGACAATGGATGTCTATAGCATGTTAGTGAAAACTTTTGAAAGCTGTAGTTCACATTTTTATGTATGTTGACCTCCTATTAGCTGGCTTTTTGATTGAAATATATTTCCCTTTATGGAGCTGATTAGCTTATATGTGTATATGTACATTTATTAATTCATATTAATTACTAGTTTGGATCAATTATATCTTGATCTATATTCATATTACTGTATGCGATAAGGTTTAACATGTTTTTTTAAATAATATTAAAGCTCCTAGGTTCCAAAAATTATGTTGAATAAATGGCACTTTGGATAATTTACATGTTCTAGGCACTTCATTTTATGTTATGAGAATGATCTTTAGTTGCAAGAGCACATGTGTCAGCAATTATAAGTTCCAATCCTGGCATTAATAACTTAACCACTGGGCAGGAAGAGTTGTTTCTAAACTTCGTGCTTTCATATCCTGATTTGTAAATTTAAAATGATAATGAGCTATGAAGTACCAAGGCTATGTGATATGTAAATACAAAGTACAGTATTATTAAAGTCTCATGAGGAAACATCTAACTCTTCTGACAGTTTCTAGATATTCTGATTGCTGTAGGAAATTCTTGTGAAAAAAAAAAAAGAGAGAGAGAGATGGATATACTGCCAGGTTTCCCTGAACATTTAGATGAATTTTTTTTCTGTACTTCTTTTTTTTTTTTATAATGATCTGCACATACCTAGGAAAAGCTAAATTTCCTGTCATTTCATGGTGATTGTATTGAGAACCAAAATAAAGTGAAATGCTGCTTCTTCCCTAAAAGTTTAATAGAAACAGCACTGGATTTAGGAGAAAAAAATTATACAATGTATACATATAGCTTGCCTTCTATAAGTATTAGAAACTGGATCTGTGTGGGAGGAGTACTTCTCCTATCTTAAAAAAAAAAAAAAGCATTAGTAGTAATCAAAGACCCACCGCATATTGCAATCTTAGTTGTTTCCACATGTTTTCTTCCAGAATCTGAGAATGAAAGGTAAATATATTGCTTCTCTTTCAATGTAACTGACCATATCCACAGAAGAGACTATATATAAGACTGAATTGTCAAGGGAAGATGAAAGTTTTTTGTTTTTTTTTTAATGTGTGTGTTGCAGGGGTAGTTTTGGGGGATAGGAAGGAAGACATTTATTTCTTGGGAAAAATCTCTGGCACTTTTTTTTTTCCCCACTTCTAGGAAACATTATGTTCTTTATTTTATGACGACGTCTTTTTCCCCAGGAAAATGATCCCATTGGTCTTCTTTAAAATTCCATCATTATGTATTGACCTTCTACCGCAATCAATTAATAGGTTTCTCAATGAATAGTAAGGATTTTTTTTAAATCTCACCCGAGATATATTGAACATTGTTGCTTTTCTGTCAGTGTTTGTGCTTTTTCTTCCCTTTGTACCATGTTTCCTACTGATGTTTAAAATCCTACTCATCCTTCAAGACTTGATTTACCTGTCACTCCTGTGTGACCCCCTCCTGGCTCATTCCAGTTGGAGATGAACTCGTCCTCCTTTTAACTTGCACAGATCACATTTTGTGCTTTTGCCCTTGTGTCAAAGCACATGCCATCTTAACTGCATGGCTATTGTCATATCTGCCATCAAGATCTGTTTGCTAGGGCAGGAATTCTTCTAGCCCTCTTAGGATGTGGCACAACATCTACAGTTCTAAAACTTCTTTGACTGTTCTAGAAGCTTCCTTTGTCCCTCCCCTGAATTCTGCATCTCCTCACCTCACTTTTAACGTCTGTGTATCGTGTCCTGTGGTCCAGTTTGTATAATGATTTTTTTAATATATGCCACTACTCATTTTCCTCTTTTTCCAAGGGCCCTGGGGCTTTCCAGTAGCCCTATTTCATTTCCTAGATCTGTGATATTCAGTATGCCGCATGTGGCTATTAAAGCACTTCAAATGTGGCTTTTTCTGAATTGAGGTGTATAAAAGGCACACTGGCTTTTGAAAACTGTACTAAAAGAAGGCAAAGGAGCGAAACTATCTCAATATTTTAAAAACGCTGATTGTGTGTTAGAGTGATCATGTTTTATATATGTCGGATTAAATAAATTATGTTATTAAAATTAATTGTAACTGTTTCTTTTTATCTTCAATGAGACTTTTAGAAAATTTAAAATTCCGGAGGTGGCTTGTTTCATCTTTCTATGACAGGGCTGTTCTAGAAAACTCACTGGACTATTCGCTGCTGTTTTTGACAGTTTACTCTCTCAGGTGGTTTCACAGCTTCTAACTTTATTTTTCTTTACCTCCTCATACTCAACTGATGCCTTTGCTTCAGGGAAAGGCGTCAGTTGAGAATGAAGAAGGAAAATGAAAGCTGTCAGATTATGCTACTCATCTCACTAGCAGATCTTCCAACCCTACATTTGCACCCATATACCTACATTTGCACTTGTCTGTTTTAAGAAGGATCTGCCCTGCTCCTACCCAAGGGCACTGGGCCCTGGATCTGGTCCAGTCTCACTCACTGACTTCCCTCTTGTGCTCATTCCCTTGCCCAAATTAGCAAATTTCATCTCTCCATAGGACCATTTAGTCAGCATATGTTATAGTTTGTCCAGTCCTGAAAAAAAAATTACTACTAACAGCAAAACTCATTGCAGTAATTGCCCAAATTGGTTGTCTACAATTCCTTTTTTCCTGTTTCCTTTTGAACTCACTCCTCATGGATCTTGTGCCCACAATTCTATTAGGACTGCCTCACTGACAAATTCAATGGCAAGTCTCAGTCCTCACCTTTCTCTATCCATAAGCGCCTTTCGACACGGTCGTTTGCTCTCTTCTTGGATCACTTTCTTAGTTTGGTTTCTAGATCAGCAGGCTTCATGGTTTATTTCTTTGCTGGCACACTCCACACGTCTTTGGTTCTTCCATGGCTCCCGATTTCTTGGCTTTGGAGTGCTTCGGGAATCAGTTCTGGTACTCTTCTCTAATAATTCTTAACTCCTTGATGATTTCAAGAGCAGAGATTCTGGTGCATGCTTTTAGGCTCCTGTATCTAATCGACTATAGAATATCTACACTTGGATGTCTAAAAGGCATTTTTAAAATTTCAAAATGGAATCCTTGATCCTCAAAATCTGCTTCTCCTCATCTTCCAAATCTCAGCTGACTATGACTGTTATCTTTCTAGTCACATGGGCAAAAATCCATTAGATTCATTCCTACCTCCTCCATTACTCTCTCGACTCTATTCACTCAAACTGTGAATCATATGGCTCAATCTTCAAAGTATGTCTCATGCCCATTCCCTTCTACCTACTTCGATGGCCCTTACCCTAGTCGTAGGCACTATTATCTCCTACCTGGAATATTGTAGTATCTCCCTAAATGGTCCCGCCACCTCCTTGCCTTGGCCCTCTCATCTATCCTCTCAACCACCACACTAATAGAAATCCAGTTAATTACTCCTCTGATATAAGCCCACTGATGACTGAGGACTTTCCTTTTTACTAAGAATTAAACTCAAATTCAACCTTATTGACTTGTACCCTACTGCACTTTTATTCTAAAACACTGGCCTCTTCTCCACCCTCACCTCTTCAAACACAGCAGCTAATCATAGGGCCTTTACATTTATGCATTTCTCTGCCTGAAAATTTTTCCTCTCATCTACTTCAAGTAGGTCTCTGCTGTAGGGCTGCCTCATTGTGAAGGTTTCCACTCACCCCCTTAATGAAGATCGCATTCCCTGTCACTTTCTTATCTTTTCTCTCTGATTTGCTTTCTTTATTGCTCTTGTAATGGCCTGAGCTTATTTATGAACGTTATTTTTTTATTATCATGGTTAAATGGTGGCCTCCAAAATATATGTTCATGTTCTAAAGCAAGGAACCTGTGATTATTATCAAAATGGCAAAAAATGAGTACTAGATGGCAACAAAGATCCTCAAGGATATTGCAGTGATATTGTTTGCACTCTAAGTGCCATCATAGTCGTAAATCATGAATCTTTCCTGGCATAGGAATATCGCTAACTTTTTCCCCTTATCTTGCTGATGACTTTGGTAATATTCGTGGCTTTGTTTTCTTTTTCCTTATAGAAACACTAGGAAATGTCCACAGAGCATAATGGTATCATTTCATCCCTGAACTTTCTTGCATTGTCTTTTGGGGAACACCTCCTTTCTAAGCCATAACAACCACCTTCAAGTTCCTTTGGCTGTGCTGGATTTTCTTTTGCACCTTCAGAAACATCTTTCTTCCTCCATTTAAAAGGAAGAGGCAGAGGGAGACAACATAGGCAAAAGAGAAGGAAGTCCTGCCTACATAGGAAGGTTGGAGTGGTGTGTCCGTGAGTCAAGCTGGAAGAGAAAACACTTAGATTCTCTTCTAGGACCTCCAGAAGGAGTGCTGCCCTAGAGACACCTTGATTTTGGATGTCTGACCTCTGGAACTGTGATTTTAAGCTGCCCAATTATGGTAATTTGTTGCAGCAGCCATAAGAAACTAATACACCAGTCTTTCCTCACTTAGAATGTAAGCACCAGAAATGTTATTCGTGGCTGTGTTCCCAGTACAGCAGCAAAGCCTGGCACGGAGTACAGCTCAATAAATATTTGATGAATGAAGATGTATAAATTTTGTGGTTAAGTCTGTTAAGGCTTTTTTTTTTTTTAACAAAAGATTTTGTTCTCAGTAGAAGTTCTCCAAATCTTATGTATTTGATCAATAGCAAAGCCCAAAGGGGAAAAAGAAAAGTATAATTTTAAGGATTAAATTGATCAGCTCTTTTTAACCAGATGTTGAGTTAAAAACAACTACTCTAGCAATGGTTAAGCCAGTCTAGATCACTCTGAAGGGTGACCATTTTCTTTGCAGGCTTTTCTCTCTTCTACCTTAACTCCTAGTCAGCCTTTGGGGTTTTGTTGTTTGTTTGTTTGTTTGTTGTAAGACCTTCAGCAATATGTGCCCCCTTTGATGAAGACAGGCTGTGGATGCCTTTTTCATGATTCTGAAAAAAAAAATATGAGTCCTCTGATATTTTCTCCACTGAATTTCCTGAAATAGTTCATCCTCCTGTTGCCTGGAATGCTTACCTTTATTTAGATGATCCATTGCAATGGTTTCCTGAATGATAGAATCACATTAGCTTATGGAGTGAAGATAGGGGCTATCCTGGGGACTTTTTAAGTAGAACTGAATAAGCTAGTGACAAGATGGTCCCTATCCCCCTTCTCTGGTCCTTAGATGACCTCCTCACTGACTTCTCTACTTTTCTGGAAACTTCAAAAACTCCCAGATCAGCCTTATTCTACATCTTTCTAATTGCATGCCTTACACTAATTCAAGGACCATTCTTTCAGTTAACTTTTTTTTTTTTGCTGCTGTGTCCAAAAGACCCAACAAAAACAATTTTAGAGGAGGAAAAGTTCATTTGTTGCTCATAGTTTTAGAGATCTCAGCCCAAAGATGGCTGATTACATTGCATGGGCTTCCAGTGAGGCAGAGTATCATGGCAGAAACATGTGGTGGAGTTCAGCAGCTCAGGACATGATACCAGGAAACAGAGAGAAGTGTTCTACTCTCCAGGAAAAAAATATAAACCCCAAAGACCTACCCCCCCACCCACTATGACTGACTTCCTCCAGCCACACTCTATCTATAGTCTGCAGTTATCACCCAGTTAATCCCTATTAGGGGATTAATGCTCCTAATAGAATAAGGTTAAAACTCTCATAACCCAAGCATTTCACCTCTGAACTCTCTTGCATTGTCTCACACATGAGCTTTTGGGGAACACCTCATATATAAACCATAAGGAGAACAGGAAACCATACAGATACTTACATCAGACAGAATAATGGACTGCAAGAATCAAGTCTTTCATGTCTTAAAATCCCCTTCAACAGTTGGCTGTATTTCCTATTTTTCATCATATCTGCTGCCAGATCCTTGTGCAACAAATGTTATCTGAGAAAGACTAAAAATACTATGGATCCATGAGTTTTAAGACACATTTTATTCAACAGAACTTCAACTAATAAGCATTCTGTGTCATCTGGGTATTCTCATCAGGATCCCACTGTTCCATTCTGTGGCCAAAACTTACTGCAGTTCTGCTTTCATTTAGCTATGTGTCAGAACCAGAGGTCTGGGCTGTTGCAGCCCCGGTGTGTGTTATCAGAGACCCTCACCTTTGTCCAATGTGACGAGTTTACTGCTATGCTTAGTAGAAATAATGTTCAAAGCAGAACAATCGGCTATACATTTCTCTCCTTGCAGACAAAGCTTGCATCTGCTCCGTATTCATAGTCATAAGTCATAAATCTTTCCTGGATTAGGAATATCACTGACTTTTTCCCCCTTACCTCGATGATGTCTTTGGTAATAATCATGGCTTTGTTTTCTTTTTCTTTATAGAAGTATTAGAAACAGTCTGTAGAGCATAGTGGTATCTGGCAGAAGAAGCACACAAAGGTCCACCGACCCTAGCAACCAGTTGCAAGAAACAGCTTTGGGTTAACATGGTGCAATGAGGAAATTTTGCAAATGCCTCTTACCTTCAGCATGTGTCACTGTAGCTCTGAATGAAACAGGAGTACAGGAGTACAGCCCAAGGTTAGAACACAGAATGTGTCAGGGGACCAGAGACTAGGAGAAAGGGGACATAGAAAGTACACTGAGCCTGATGCTGTAATTCCATACGTGCAGAAAGCAATGGGAAATGTGGAAAATCAATATCCCTGGGGATGTTCACATTCTCACCTTTAAGAGTTCATCCAATAAGTTTGGTTGGTTTGCTAATTTACTCAAATACAAAATACAGCGATCCTCACCCATGAAGATTGTCCTGCTGTTTTATAATGGTTGGGAAGTGCTGATGGGACAGCTTTTTGATAAACAATCTCATTCAGACCTCCAAATTTGTCTTGGACACTTTCCTGTCTGTCAGTCTTTATTCATCCCTTAGGTTCCTGCTATCTTTCATAGAATTCTGTGGCCATTTATCACAAAATTTGGACAAACACACTAATAAAACTATTGATTACATTATGTAGTTTGTGTCCAAATATTGTTTTATGCATAAAGTTAACAGATGTTGGTCTTCCGCTCTTTTTGCTCTG